ACCAGTTTCTTGGCAATAAACCTGTTTTTCGCTCAAGAAACCAATTTCTGGGCAAGAAAGCTGTTTTCGCTCAAGAAACATGTCTTTTGCTCAAGAAACATGTTTTTTGAGATGAATGAAAATTGAAGTGAAGTGTGTGAAGTCCCAAAAAAATTGAAGTGAAGTGTGTGAAGTCCCAAAAAAATTGAGATGACATGTCAACAAATTGTGTCTTGCTCAAAAAACCAATTTCTTGGCAAGAAACCAGTTTCTTGGCAAGAAACCTGTTTTCTGCTCAAGAAACATGGCGCAAACTTCGAAACCTGTTACGACAATCCCCTAACCCTAGATAGAGGATTTAGTTACTCATAGCGATCTCAACACAAACATTCATATTAAAGAAAGCCATGACAATCATTAATAAAACGAAAATAGAAGCTTACCATTAATACGAAGGTTCAAAGTCAAAATCCGAGTGCAAAACGAATCCGAAAATAACAATCCGAAAAATATGTTCTGGGGTTCAAAAGTGCGAACAACATTCATAACCTAGGATAGAACATAATGAAAACGTGCGAACAACATTCATCGCATAAGAGTCTTGTCTTGAAGCCTAATCTCTCCATGTAACAAAATAACCAAGTGCCGCTGCTCCACGCCGACTGAGTGCAATATCTTGCAAGGTGTTCTGCAGAAAGGTCATAGAACACACTCGCACTCCCGCCCTCATCGCCCATATGAGAAAAAGCTCGACCTCACTGACCTTGTTCGCCTCCTTTTTGCCATTACCCATAATCCACAAGTAATCATTCAAATATTATTAATAATAACAAACTAAAACAACAGAGAATTCAAAAGAGAAAAGGTTAAAGCTTTAACCAGTGTAATACAAGACAAATCAAAATAAAAAATTCTAGTAGAGGAAGTCATACCTTACGCTTAGACCATTTCCAGGAACAACAGAACCACAGTTGTGACACTTGGTATGTTTTGGACACAAGTAAGGTCCATGACCAACATTCTGCATGAGAAAGGTGAAATTATAAGCTGATCAATAAGTATATCTTCAAGGTTTAGAAATAAAATATATTACCTTGTGTGGAGGTTGCTGGCAATAACAATGGTATGCATCATCACACCTTTTACAGAACATGAATTTGTTAAGATCTCTATTTCTTCTGCAGACCTACGACAACCATGAAACCCAAAAAAAATATAGAACATGGTACATAACAATAACGATCACCAACATCACAAATTGATTAGAAGCTGAAAGATGTCCCAAGCACTAACAAGCAAGTGAAACAAATGCAAAAAGTGCAAAAAAGAAACAACACTCAGTTGACATCGTCAACTTATAATCAAACTTCAAGCAAATAATTATCTATAAAAAGCATGCACATCCATCCATAACAAATCAATAACTCTTGCACTATAGTAGTTTCTTCAGACATTTTTTCATTCTTAAGCAGCTCCAAACATTTATAAAATCTTTCCTTCCTCTTTTACCCGAACCGGCCGATCAAGCCTTGGTCAAAACCCTGTCCGGCTCGATGTAAATAGATCTAGGGCCAGCATATAAACACACAACCAGTCACACCAAGTAAAACAATACATGGTAAAAACATTAAA